AGTCTCACTCTTGTCACCCAGGCTGGAGAGCAATGGTGTAATCTTGGCTCACTGCAACCTCCACCTCCCGGGTACAAGCGATTCTCCTGCCTCAGCCTCCTGAGTAGCTGGGATTACCATGCCCAGGGAATTTTTGCTATTAACTGGTTTCACCATATTGGTCAGACTGGTCTCAAACTCCTGATCTTGTAATCCACCTGCCTCAGCCTCCCAAAGTGCTGGGATTACAGGCGTGGGCCACCCTGCCTGGCCCTATAACTCTTTTTATTTACTGTATTTTGCTCTGTCAGGAGTGGACATTAAGTAAATGCTGGTCACTGACATCAAGTCATTAACACTTACAAAATACACTGCTCCAAAGCTTCCATGGCCAATTTCTCTGAGATCTGTGAAGAGCTTCTCTGGATCTTCTTTGAAGAAGAGCTCTGCAATTTCAGGGTCCTTCAGGCTGCCTGCTCTGTTAGTTGATGGCATCCTGCTGAGCAGTCAGCTGTCTGATTCTAATTTTATACTGCTATCCCAATCCTTGGTTCATCTGTATGAATGAAGCCACGCTGGCATAAACTACTGTAGAGAAATAGGAAAAAAAAAAAAAAAAAAAAAAAGTCAGTATAAGGTCATATGCTGATAGCACCTACAAATTTATCTCATGCCTACAATTTCACTGAAAAGGCAGTGTGGATACTACTGCAGTAATTCCTAAACTGTTTCATCATCATAAACACCTGTGGTACTTAAAAAAGATCCCTACTATATAGCACTTTTAAAAAATGAGATAATCTTTGTGTCTTGGCAGGCTTTCCAAGTCAATACTTAAAAATTTACTTCTGATGCAGTTATCTCATCAATAGAGAAGATAATATAAAAGAGATTTTTCTTTTTTTTTCTTTTGAATGTCAAGTATATAAAAGAGATTTTTTAAATACACAATAACTCAAAATGTACCCACAGTATTTTCAACAACAGGAAACTTCCTTTTCTGTTCAGATACCATATGCCAGTGTATTAATCAACTCTAACCGACATAAAAGAAAAATACAGTGAGAGAAAGTAATGAATTTCACACAGACAACTCTTTCCCTATAAACTTGATTTTGACCATAGCAAAGTCACTTAACTTCTCACTCCTAAACTTAGTAGGTTGAACTAAATTCCACATAAACTATTAACTTTCAATTAATCAACCTATAAAAAATAACAAACTTCAGTGTTATTTAAGACCATATTTAAGAATTCTAAATAAGTTTTAGTACCCTAACAAGAATTATTTTACATTAAAATTTTCTAACTGGGTCCATGATCTGCATCTTCTTTCTTATCTACCTAACAAATTCCCAAAGTCTTTCAAGATTTAGATTAAATGTCACAAAGTTTGTAAAATCTTAAGTCTATTAGGAAGAGTTGGTCACCCTCCCTTTATGCCCCCAAAGCATCCTGCAGCATATACCATATTATATTGCTATTATTTAACTCTCTTTCCTAAGCAATCAGGCACAATGTGTCTCATTCATCTTTGTATCATCTCTCCAGCTCCTACCCCTTACCTTCTGCAGTTAATATTATATAAATATTGCTGAATAAAAGAATATACTTCTATGCAGCTCCTAAAAAATAACTTCACTTCCACAAATACTTACAGAACAAACAGTAATGCATAAGACTATGATACATAAAAACATTGAAGTTGTCAAGAACAGAGAAAATGCAGGATAGCAACTTCCAGAAACTCAGAGAGACAAGAAATAAATAGGGAATTGAAACACTTGTTCAACCAAAGACCAAAATATAACACAATACTATCACCATCACAAGAGTAAAATACTAAAACAAAACAAGAAAATTAATAACCTAAAAAACCCAGAAACTAACCCATGTTTGTCTACCTTGAAATTTAACAAACACAGTTAAAGGAGAAGAAATAAATTGAGAAAGCTTGACAATCCATTTGGAAAAAAAATTATATGCCTATCACTTATCTTACCATAAACATTACTTCTAAGTGTCTCAAAAAGGCATCTAAAATCAATGGGGAAAAAACTGATTTGATAAAAATGCATTGTTGGGAGAGCCTAATAGCCATACGAGAGAAAAATTATACCTTTTCCTCAAATTGAACATCAGAATTACATAGGGATCAGATACACAAATATTAAAAAATAAAACGAGTACTAGGAGGAAATATGAGTAAATTTCTTTGTAACCAGTGTGAGGAAACTTATCTATGATCTACATCCAAAGCAATAAGGAAATAGACATATTTGACAATATAAAAAAGAAACCTTGAGAGGAAGGAACACAGTAAAAGACACCAAAAAGAATAAAAAGCAGGCTGGCACGGTGGCTCATGCCTATAATCCTAGCACTTTGGGAAGCCAAGACAGGCAGATCACCTGAGGTCAGGAGTTTGAGACCAGCCTGACCAATATGGAGAAATACCATCTCTACTAAAAATACAAAATTAGCCAGGCATGGTGGCACATGCCTGCCATCCCAGCTACTAGGGAGGCTGAGGCAGAAGAATCGCTTGAACCCGGGAGGTAGAGGTTGCTGTGAGCCGAGATCATGCCATTGCACTCCAGCCCGGGCAACAAGAGCGAAACTCCATCTCAAAAAATAAAATAAAATAATAAAAAGCAGATAAACTTGATACAAAAGCAGGAAGTACATCTGTAAGATTTTGTTTTTTTTTTTTGAGACGGAGTTTCGCTCGTTACCCAGGCTGGAGTGCAATGGCGCGATCTCGGCTCACCGCAACCTCCGCCTCCTGAGTTCAGGCAATTCTCCTGCCTCAGCCTCCTGAGTAGCTGGGATTACAGGCACGCACCACCATGCCCAGCTAATTTTTTGTAGTTTTAGTAGAGATGGGGTTTCACCATGTTGACCAGGATCGTCTCGATCTCTTGACCTCGTGATCCACCCGCCTCGGCCTCCCAAAGTGCTGGGATTACAGGCATGAGCCACCGCGCCCGGCCAAGAATTTTTTTAAAAAAAAAGATAGGCCAGGTGAATTGGCTAATACCTGTAATCCCAGCACACTGGGAGGCCAAGGCAGGTGGATTACCTGAGGTCAGGAGTTTGAGACCAGCCTGGCCAACATGGTAAAACTCTGTTTCTACTAAAAATATAAAAATTAGACGGGTGTGGTAGTGCATGCCTATAGTCTCAGCTGCTCAGGAGGCTGAGGTGGGAGAATTGCTTTGAATCCAGGAGGTGGAGGCCGCAGTGAGCAGAAACTGTGTCACTGCACTCCAGCCTGGGTGACAGAGCAAGACCCTGTCTCAAAAAATAATAATAAAATAAACTTTTAAAAAGTCTGAAACTTAGATAAGAAGGAGTTAATATCCTTAACAATGTAGAGTTTTAAAAAACAGAGAAGAAATGAACAACATCCTAATACCCCTAATATAGTTAATAAAAATGGGGAAACCCAGACACGGTGCCTATAGTCCCAGCTACTCAGAAGGCTCAGGCTGGAGGATCACTTTGAGCCCAGGGGTGTGAGTTTGTAGTGCACTCTGATCATGCCTGTGAATAGCCACTGCACTCCAGCCTGGGCAACAAAGTGAAACCTCTTCTCTTTAACAACAAACAAAGCGGTGACTCACTCCTGTAATCCCAGTACTTTGGAGGCCAAGACAGGAGGATCGCCCATGGTCAGGAGTTCGAGACCAGCCTGGCCAATATGGTGAAACTTCACCTCAGCTAAAAATACAAAAAATTAGCCAGGCATAGTGGTGCATGCCTGTAGTCCCAGCTACTCAGGAGGCTGAGGCAGGAGAATCGCTTGAAACCAGGAGGCGGAGGTTGCAGTGAGCCGAGATTGTGACACTGCACTCCAGCCTGGGCAAAAAGAGTGTACCTCCATCTAAAAAAAAAAGAAAATGGCTGGGCATGGTGGCTCACGCCTGTAATCCCAGCACTTTGGGAGGCCGAGCCGGGCAGATCACCAGGTCAGGAGATCAAGACCATCCTGGCTAACATGGTGAAATGCCGTCTCTAAAAAAAAAAAAGATAGAAAATGCAGTAAAAATACAATTACTATAACCTTATGGGGAGCATAATTGTATGTGTGGTCCATTGTTGACTGAAATATTGTTACATGGTGCATGACTGCATTTGGAAAGTGAATGACATACTTCTAAGTAACCCATAAGTCAATAATGGAGTTTTGAGGAAAATTAGAAGAGATTATGAATTGAATAAAAACCAAAATACAAGGTAAAATTTATAGAATACAGTTAAAGCAGTGCTTAGAGGGAAATGTATGGTACTAACTATTTTAGAAAAACTAAGGTCTCAAATCAATAATCTAAGCTTCTAAAGCTTCTATCTTAAAAATATAGAAAGAGGCCGGGCATGGTGGCTCACCCCTGTAATCCCAGAACTTTGGGAGGCCGAGGCAGGCGGATCACCTGAGGTCAGGGGTTCAAGACCAGCCTGGCCAACATGGTGAAATCCCATCTCTACTAAAAATACCAAAAATTAGCCAGGCATAGTGGCAGGCACCTATAATCCTAGCTACTCAGGGGGCTAAGACAGGAGAATTGCTTGAACCTGGGAGGAGGAGGTTGCAGTGAGCCAAGATCGCATCACTGCACTTCCAGCCTGGGCAGTTAGAGAGAAACTCCACCTAAAAAAAAAAAAAAAAAGAATATAGAAAGAAAAGCGCAAGTTAAACCAAAAATAAATATAAGAAGGCACTACTAAAGAAAAGAACAGAATAGAAATCAGTGAAATAGAAAACAAAAAGCCAACAGAGGAAAAAAATCAATAGTCAAAAGCTGTTCTTTGAGGGGAAGCAGAGGAAGTCAATAAGGCAGAAAGGCCTCTACCTAAATTAACAAAGGGAAACAAGCAGACACAAATTACCAATAACACAAACAAAAGAGATATCACTACAGACCCTATAGACATTAAAAAGATGAGGAAATACAATGAAAAGCTGTAAGCTAACAACATAGATGAAATGGACAAATTATTTTAACAGGGATAAAGACTACCAAAAACTCACTCAAGAAGAAATAACCTGATTAGTCATACGTATATGAAAGAAAACTCCAGCCTAGACAGTTTCACTATCAAATCCATTAAATATTAAAGAAAAAAATATCAATTCTACATAAATTCTTCAAGTTTAGAAGAGAGAACATTTCCCAATTCATTTTATGAAGCCATCATGACATTGACATCAAAACAAACCAAAGCACTGACAAAAACTGAAGATTTCTAACCAATATAAAAGCAAAAATCATCAACATAAAAGCAAAATCATCAACAAAATTATCAGCAGATTAAATTTAGCAATATATAAAAATGATACCACAGCACAATCAAGCAGGATTTATTGAAAAATGCAAGGCCGGTTCAACGTTAGAAAATCATTGTCATTCTCCATTCTAAACATACTAGAGAAGAAATATTAAAAAAGGCAGAAAATCAAATTGACAACATCTATTCATGATCAAAACACTCAAAACTAGGAATAGAAAGGAACATCCTTAACCTATTAAAGGTATCTACAAAAACCCTGCAGCTAACATCATACGTAATGCTTGAAGACTGAAAAC